CAACTTCTAATACCAAATTTGAAGCAATTCCGTTGAATAATGTCGCCAAAATCATCAAAATAACGAATATCGGGAGGTACCGTTATATGGTGGCTATACGAAGACGTGGACCTGCACAGACAATTTTCTGTCATAGGTTTTAGTATCCATTACGAACTTCAAATACCAAATTGGAAACATTTCCATTGAATAATGTCGCTTAAATCATCAAAATACCGAATATCGGGTTGTAGCGTTATATGGGGGCTATATGAAGACGTGGACCTGCACAGACAATTTTCTGTCATAGGCTGTAGTATTCATTACGAATCTCAAATACCAAATTTGAAACAATTCCGGAGAATAATTTCACTAAAATCATCCAAATACCGAATATCGGGGGGTACCGATATATGGGGGCTATACGAAGACGTGGATGTGCACAGACAATTTTCTGTTTTAGGCTGTAGTATCCATTACGGACATCAAATACCAAATTTGAAACAATTCCGTTGAATAATGTCGCTTTAGTCACCCAAATACCAAAAAAAGGGAGGAACCATTACATGGGGGCTATAAGAAGACATGGACCTGCACAGACAATTTCCTGTCTTGGGCTGTAGTATTTATTGCGAACTTTAAATACCAAATTTGAAACAATTCCGGTGAATAATCTCGCTAAAATCATCCAAATGCCGAATATCAGGAGGTACGGTTATAAGGGGGCTATACGAAGACGTGGACCTGCACAGAAAATTTTCTGTCATAGGCAGTAGCATCCGTTACGAACTTCAAATACCAAATTTGAAATAATTCCGTTGAATAATGTCGCTAAAATCATCAAAATACCGAATATCGGGAGGTACACTTATATGGGAGCTATATGAAGGCGTGGACCTACATGGTCCATTTTCAATAACAAAAGTCCTGCAGACTTAATACACATTTGAGTAAAATTTTATCAACCTCCTTCAATTCGTTCGTAAGCTAGAGTGATTTCCACAGACGGACGGACATCGCTAAATCGACATAGAATTTTATGCTGATCAAAAATATAAATGGGTTCTAAAATGTATATTTCGAGATGTTATAAACGGAATGACCACTGTGCCTTGGCTGGTGGTTGGCTTGAATAATTCTGATAATAATTACGATTTGAAAAAAAAATTGTGAAATCCCTTGCATTTTATTTTTAATCGGTTCGATGATTGAGTATTTTTCAATTCAAAATCAGCTGTAGTGTTTGGATATCAATGAAGTTCTATGAATTATTTTTTTTTCTACACACGATCACAACAGAACACCCCCCCAGTACTTGAGGTTTCACACAAACACTCACTGATAAAGAACGGGAGAAGAACGAGAGAGAGAGAGAGAGATGGGGGCACATAGCACAGCTCGTCACAACGTTTGCGTTTCAATACTCAATTTGTCAAAGTGAATTCCAGACGAAAATTAATCACATCACACGCACGAACACAGACAGACTCACCTATGCCAAAAAAAGCAGATTATTTCTTGGCGATAAAATCACAAAAAAAAACTTGAAATAAATGGAAATGCCAAGGAAACTAAATTGGCCATAACAAAAACAATGCCAAAAAACGAGAATATGACAACAAATCATTGTGTGCTTTGTTGTTGTATTTTCTTTTTTTAGTTAATCGATTTATAATGTGTGGGCCTATGTCAATGTCGCTGCCATCTGATTTTAGAATTATGCTCTCTCTCTCTCTCTCTGGTGGTGATGATCTTCTTGAAAGTCTTTTGTCCCCCCCCACACAAAAAAAAAAACCCACAACCCCATGAGTTAGCTAATTCGCTGAAAAGAACAAAAAACCCAAAAAAAATTCTCAGCAAACAAATGATGCTGCTAATCTTAACAAGGATGACGCTCATGACAATGATGATCGGCAACATGATGATGTTGCTTTATCCCATCATCATAATGACACACATGATGATAATGAGCATTTCTCCCCCAATTTTATTCAAGCGATTTTTAGTGACAAAAAAAGAAAATGAAAACAATTCATAGCTGGGGGCTGATATTACAGATATTAGGGGGATTCATATTTTTCATAATTTTATACCCTCCAACATAGCATGGAGCGTTAGTCGTTTGTAACACCTCGAAATATACATTTTAGACCCACAAAGTATATATATATTCTTGATCATCATAAAATTCCATGTCAATTCAGCGATGTCCGTCCGTCTATCCGTCTGTGGAAATTGCTCTAGCTTCCGAACAAATTGAAGGAGGTTGATAAAATTTCACTCAAATATATATTATGCCTACAGGACTTTTGGTATTAAAAATGGGCCATATAGGTCTACATCTTCGTATAGCCCCCATATAACGCTACCTCCCGATATTCAGTATTTTTATGATTTTAGAGACATTATTCAACGGAATTGTTTCAAATTTCGCATTTGAAGTTCGTAAGGGATACTACAGCCTACGACAGAAAATTGTCTGTGCAGGTACACGTCTTCGTATAGGTCCCATATAACGATACCTCCCGATATTCGGTATTTTGATGATTTTAGCGACATTATTCACCGGAATTGTTTTAAATTTGGTATATGAAGTTCGTAAGGTATACTACAGCCTAAGACAGAAAATTGTCTGTGTAGGTCCACTTCTTCGTATAGCTCCCATATAACGGTACCTCCGATATTCGGTATTTGGATGATTTTAGCGACATTATTCAACGGAATTGTTTCAAATTTGGTATTTGAAGTTCGTAAGGGATACTACAGCCTATGACATAAAATTGTCTGTGCAGGTTCACGTCTTCGTATGACCACCATATAACGGTACCTCCCGATATTCGGTATTTGGATTAATTTAGCGACATTATTCACCGGAATTGTTTCAAATTTGGTATTTGAAGTTCGTAATTGATGCTTCATCATATGACAGAAAATTGTCTGTTCAGGTCCACGTCTTCGTATAGCCCCCATATAATGGTACCTCCCGATATTCGGTATTTTGATGATTTTAGCGACATTCTTCACCGGAATTGTTTCAAATTTCGCATTTGAAGTTCGTAATGGATACTACAGCCTAAGACAGAAAATTGTCTGTGCAGGTCCACGTCTTCGTATAGCCCCAATATAACTGTACCTCCCGATATTTGGTACTTTGCTGATTTTAGCAACATTATTCACTGGAATTGTTTCAAATTTGGCATATGAAGTTTGTAATGAATACTACAGCCTCTGACAGAAAATTGTCTGTGCAGGTCCACGTCTTCGTAAAGCCCCCCATATAACGCTACCTCACGATATTCTTTATTTTGATGATTTTAGCAACATTATTCACAGGAATTGTTTAAAATTTGGTATTTGATGTTCGTAAGGGATACTACATCCTTAAAAAGAAAATTGTCTTTGCCGGTCCACGTTTTCGTATAGCCCCCATAGAACGGTACCACCCAAAATTGGGTATTTTGATGATTTTAGCGACTTTGTTCCCCGGAATTGTTTCAAATTTGGTATTTGAAGTTCGTAAGGGATACTACAGCCTGAGACAGAAAATTGTCTGTACAAGTCCACGTCTTCGTATAGCCCCCATTTAAAGGTACCCCCGATATTCGGTATTTTGATGATTTTAGCGACATTATTTACCGGAATTGTTTCAAATTTGTTATTTGAAGTTTGTAAGGGATAATACAGCCTATGACAGAAAATTGTCTGTGCCGGTCCACGTCTTCGTATAGCCCCCATATAAAGGTACCTCTCAATATTCGGTATTTTCATGATTTTAGCGACTTTGTTCCCCGGAATTGTTTCAAATTTGGTATTTGAAGTTCGTAAGGGATGCTTCATCCTATGACAGAAAATTGTCTGTGACGGTCCACGTCTTCGTATAGTCCCCATATAAAGGTACCCCCCGATATTCGGTATTTTGATGATTTTAGCAACATTATTCACCGAAATTGTTTCAAATTTGGTATTTCAAGTTCGTAATGAATACTACAGCCTAAGACAGAAAATTGTCTATGTAAGTCCACGTCTTCGTATAGCTCCCATAGAAAGGTATCCCCCGATATTCGGTATTTTGATGATTTTAGCTAAAATTTTCACCGCAATTTTTTCAAATTTGGTATTTGAAGTTCGTAAGGGATACTACAGCCTATGGCAGAAAATTGCTTGTTCAGGCCTACGTCTTCGTATAGCTCCCATAGAAAGGTATCCCCCGATATTCGGTATTTTGATGATTTTAGCTAAAATTTTCACCGCAATTTTTTCAAATTTGGTATTTGAAGTTCGTAAGGGATACTACAGCCTATGACAGAAAATTGCCTGTGCAAGTCCACGTCTTCGTATAGCCGCCATATAACATTACCTCCCGATATTCCATTATTCACCGATTTTTTATAAGTTTCGCATTTGAATATTGTAATGGCTTATGGCAAAAGCTACCTATGAACCCTAATATATCGTCTACATTCAGTATTTTTAAGATTTTAACTTACAGCTTTTTTACTTGTTTTATTTTGAAAATTTGAAAATTTTTTTGAGGTTAGGTTTAGTTTGTCGGTTTAAAATGCTTTACAGTTATTAGTCTTCACTTTCTACACGGATCTATTGGAGGCCTCAAATACTTTTTTTTTTGTTAAAAAAAAAAAACAACAACAAAAATATTAATTTTTAGTGAACACACCTAATACCCATGTTCTGTCGTGTATCGCGAGTTGTGTGTGGTACTAGTGTTTTGGTGTGTCGCGTATTTTTTTTTGTTTTTGTTTGTTTGTTGTTGTTCTCAATAATATTATTATTGTATAATTCAGAAATCACTCGAATAGTAGAAAATACAACAACAACAAAAACACAATGCTGATTTCAAAGTAGTAGTAGTAGTAGTTGTTGTTGTTATTGCTTTTCATCATTTCATTAACAAAATATAAATTTTTACAAACTTGCGTTATTTATTGAAAACGCTCGGAAGAGAAGAATGTGAAACAAAGCGAAAAAAAAAAACAATCTAATGCTCCATTCAATATTTTCAGGCGAAGATGATGCATCCGATTGCACCTCATTCTATGCGGAATATGATCCATTCGATTATCTCTACAGTGGCGGTAGTACACAGTGTTCGGATCCAGTCTATGAGGCTGTTAATAAATTGGATCAAACAGCTGTGAGTCCCAATGGTAAGTTGACGGAGAGAAAGAGAAGAGAGAAAATGTTAAAAGAGAAATTAATTTCCCCCTCTCTTTCTTTTATTCACAGTTTCCAATATTGGCTGGCGTACAGATTTTGGCCCGGCATCCCATGTCCAGGATATAGATGTCCAGTCCACCTATTCGTTTAGCTCACAAAGCCATCATTCGCATTCCCAGACACCGCCACCACCGTTGCCGCCACGCAACAGCGGTAGTGCTGGCACTAGTGTGGGCTCTTTCAACACCTTTGCCCGGGATTTTGAGTCCAATGAAGCCTATGCACCGGTACTAAATGTTAGCCACGTCTTGGATAGGCGAAAAACCTATTCCCGTCTCTATGACATGGTTACCGATCAGAGGACTATTGATCCGGAACTTTTGGATTTTTACTATATGGTTAAGAAGCTGAGGCAGAATTACCCCTACGACGATGAGACCACAAATGTGGGTCACATAATTGCCTCGGAATTTAATTATCACTATCCGTTTGAGACAAGCATCAAGATTCTGGTGCATCCAGCCCTAAATGCCCTGTTTCCAGATGCTGAAGCGGCAACCATAAATGGTGGGCAGTTTAATGGTTATGGTTCGCCGGTGATTTTTACCTGTGACAGTGAGTTTTAAATTTTTCGATTTTCAATTTCCTTTCAAATAATTTATCCGGCCTTTCCTTTTTTAGTTAATACTCCCGTGGAATTGGTCATTAGCCAGGCATTTTGTTCGCTGGAGGGTCAAATCCGCGGCTCGGTCAATGATTTTGCCGTCAAACCCATTGGAGTTTCAGAATGGCTGGCAAACACCTCAAAACTAAGTCAATTGGAATGTGTTCACAATAGTTTGAAATTGGAAAAGGATGTCCAGTTGGGTTTGTGCCTCAAGAGTCGTGAAAATATGCAGGTGATTGCCCGTACGCAACGTGATGATAAGAACGACATGGATTTGCGGCCGGAAGATGTGTTGCCCAATGAATCGGCCACCACAATTACCTATGACAATATGATGATATTAATAGGTGAGATGATGGGGTTAGGATCTACAGCACTTTTGAGAAAAAATATCACATGCGATATTTATTATTTACAAAAAATATCGCATGCAATTTTTTCACCAAAATTTTTTTTTAAATATTTTTTTTCGCTTGGGTTTGGAAAAATAGCACTTTTGAGAAAAATATTGCATGCGATATTTTTTTGGTTTGGAAAAATAGCATTTTTGAGAAATAAATATTGCATGCGATATTTTTCTTTACCAATTTTTCGCTAAAATTTTTTTTTAAATAATTTTTTTTGCTTTTTGGTTTGGGATATTCCGCTCTTTGAGAAAAATATTGCATGAGATATTTTTCTTTATAAAATATCTCGCATGCAATTTTTTTCACCAAGTTTTTTTAATAATTTTTTTGTTCGCTTTTTGGTTTGAGATATCCAACAATTTAAAACAAAATATTGCATGCGACATTTTTCTTTACAAAAAATTTTTTTTTCAAATAATTTTTTTTTCGCTTGGATTTGGAAAAATGGCGCTTTTGAGAAAAAATATTGCACGCGATATTTTTCTTTGCAAAAATATATCATGCTATTTTTTTACCAAAATTTTTTTGAATATTTGAGAAAAAGATTGCATAAGATATTTTTCTTTATAAAAAATCTCGCATGCAATTTTTTTCACCAAATTTTTTTAATAATTTTTTTGTTCGCTTTTTGGTTTGGGATATCCAGCAATTAAAAAAAAAATATTACAAAAAATATCTCATGCAATTTTTTCACCAAAATTTTTTTTAATTATTTTTTTTCGCTTGGGTTTGGAAAAATTGCACTTTTGAGAAAAATATTGCATGCGATATTTTTTCTTTATAAAAAATCTCGCATGCAATTTTTTCACCACAATTTTTTTTAATAATTTTTGGTCGCTTTTTGATTTGGGATATCCAGCACTTTTGAGAAAAATATTGCATGCGACATTTTTCTTTACAAAAAATCTCGCATGCAATTTTTTTTAAACAAATTTTTTTTATTATTTTTTGATCGCTTTTTCGGTTGCGATATATAGCACTTTTTGAGAAAAATATTGCATGTGATATTTTTTGTAAATATTTTTTAAAATTTTTTATTGTTTTTTGGGTTGGGTTCTACAGCACATTTGAGAAAAATATTGCATGCGATATTTTTCTTTACAAAAAATATGGCATGCAATTTTTTTCACCACAAATATTTTTAATAATTTTTTTTTCGCTTGGGTTTGGAAAAAATTCACTTTTTTGTAAAGGAAAATATCGCATGCAATTTTTTCACCACAATTTTTTTTTAATATTTTTTTTGCTTTGTGGTTTGGGATATTCCGCATTTTTGAGAAAAATATTGCATGCGATATTTTTTCACCACAATTTTTTTAATAATATTTTTTGGCTTGGGTTTGGAAAAATAGCACTTTTGAGAAAAATATTGCATGCGATATTTTTCTTTAAAAAAATCTGTCATGCAATTTTTTCAAAAAAAAAAAAATTTAATAATTTTTTTCCTTGGGTTTGGAAAAATTGCACGTTTGAGAAAAATATTGCATGCGATATTTTTCTTTACAAAAAATATCTCATATAATTTTTTCACCACAATTTTTTTTAATAATTTTTTTCCGCTCCTTTTTTCCTCCAGAAACCCTTGAAAATGAAATCGATAAACTACAATCTGCAGCCAGTGATAATACCTCACGCAGTGTCTTATCTTGCTCGGGAGTTGTGCAGGGCATCAAAGCCATTTGTGCCTTATTGGGCTCCATCGATACCCTGGAATTGGCCGAATGTGTTGATCAGCTAAAACAAGTTTGTGAGGAGAGTCAAATTAAGTATGCTGCCTCCAGTTCGGGAAATCCAGAGATTGTTAACGATTGCGGTGACTATGCGGAGGTGTGTCTGAGGCCACGTTCCAATTTGGAACAGATCAAACTGAAGTGCAACAAACTAAGGGATGCTGTGCAGGAGCTAATTGAACTGTACTCCAATGTGTTTCGAGTGGGTTTCTCGGTGAAGACCTTGGACTATTCTATAAGTAAGTAGATGATATTTGCTCATGGAACCTATTAATGATAACGATTTTCTCTTATTTTTCAGCTCCCATACATGTCTCCTGTGTCTCCAAGCCCGTGGTGGTCAGCATCAACTGTTTACATCGGCCACCGCCATTGTGGAAATATGATAGCTATTCCCTGGGCGTACACATAAACTATGGCACCCGCTTTATCTCCGAACCTGTGGTGACAAAGTGCTCCAACGATACCTCCGGGGGTTTATTTGCCCGTTTGAAATTTTCCTCATGGCTGACATTTGATAAAAATCCCATTTGCACGTTGCCACGAGAGGCTCGTTTAATATTTGTACTCTACGGCACCCAGTTGGCAGAGAATGAACCCAACAACACAGGCAATGAGAACGACGAGAGAAGGCAAATAACCACCGAATTGGGCTGGTGTGCAATACAACTGTTTGACTACAAACGTGAGATGATTTGTGGTCCATATTTGCTCTCCATGTGGCCGGCAACGGCGGATAAGTTTTTGGGTCCAGCACCGGCCAAGGGTTGTCATCCACATCCCGACTATTGTCCGGTTTTGAGTATTGAAATACCACCATATGGTGGTAGGATACAGTTTCCAGAACCCGTGGAAAATCCAGCGCCGGCACCAAGGTGAGTCGTATCATAAAAACGACCTTGAAAACAATTTTAAAATCATCTCTTTTTTTAAGATATGACTTCAATTCCCTGGACACAAATCTGCAACAAGAACTGCTGGACACCGCCGAACAGGGCTATCCTGGGGCGAGCGACAAACGTGAAGTCTTCTGGGAGAAACGTTTGTATTTACAAAATATACCTCATGCCTTGCCCAAGGTTTTACATGCCGCCCACAGTTGGGATTATGCCAGTCTCATGGATCTACATTCGCTGCTCTACTCATGGACCCCATTGGCTCCACTGCAAGCGCTGGAATTACTCTTACCTCGTTATCCAGATGCCAAAGTCCGACAGAAGGCTGTCGAATGGATATCCCACCTACCCAACGATCAGTTGGTGGATTATTTGCCTCAGCTAATACAGGCCTTGAAACATGACACCTATGAGGCATCAGCGATGGCTCGTTTTTTGCTATGTAAATCTTTGGAATCGCCACGCATTGCCCATCATATGTATTGGCTATTGGTTCACAGCCTGCCCGGCAATGATCCTCAGAATTCCATAGATTCTTCATCCGCCAGTGCAGCGGAAATCGATGAGTCGTTGGTAACACAAGCCCGCTATCATCGTCGCAACAAAATGATGTTGAGAGCCCTCTTGGCGATATGTGGCGAAAAGCTGTCGGAGCGGTTCCTTTTACAGAATCTTATGTGCCGGGTAAGGAAGTAGACAATTTGTGTATTTTTTTTTGGAGGAGGAGGAGAAGACTAAAAGGGGTTTCTTTATAAAATAATTCGATATCTTTTGCATAAGGAGATTTCTAGAATCCTATGTGTAGGTTAAGGAAGTAGACAATCCTCTTGGTCTTCTTAAAAATAAAGAATTTTTGGACATTTTACAAATATTTTTAATACCATCACCCAAACCTTGATTTTTTTCAGGAATATTCTGTTCAAAGTCCTTTCAATTTAAAGGAGATTTATTTTTAATGAAACTAAAATTATATTTCATCTCCCTTCTTCCAGAACCTGGCCAACATTGCGGAGCATGTCAAGGAGGCCAAGGAAGCTTTGCGCCAGAAATTCCTGTGTGCCGGCATGGATGAAATAAATCAGGAATTATTGGACAAACATACCTCTTTGCCACTGGGCCCGGAGCTGGAGGTTAGCGGGGTAAATGTACGCAATTGTAGCTATTTCAATTCGAATACATTGCCACTGAAAATTTCATTTGTGGGACCCGATGCTGAGCCGTTGCCCGCCATATTTAAGGTTTGTAAAATTTCTTTTCAATTTTTTTTTGAGATTTTTAAAATGTGTTTTTTTTTCTTCCTCTCCAGTCTGGTGATGATCTGCAACAGGACATGCTGACCATCCAACTGATACGTGTCATGAATAAAATGTGGCTGGCCGAGGGTTTAGATTTGAAAATTGTCACATTTAATTGTGTACCCACCGGCTACAAGAAGGGTATGATTGAAATGGTTAGTGATGCCGAAACGTTGAGGAAAATCCAAGTAGAATATGGTTTGACAGGATCCTTTAAGGATCGTCCCATAGCCGAGTGGTTGGCCAAACAAAATCCCAGTCAATTGGAATATCAAAGAGCGGTCAAGAATTTTACGGGTAAGATTCAATCCAACAGCTTTTTCCTTTTAAATTTATGTTTTTTTCTTCTTCTAAAGTTTCCTGTGCCGGCTATAGTGTAGCCACATATATCTTGGGCATTTGTGATAGACATAACGACAATATTATGTTAAAAACCTCCGGTCACTTGTTTCACATTGATTTTGGCAAGTTTTTGGGCGATGCCCAAATGTTTGGCAATTTCAAGAGGTAGGTCTCCATCTCTCTCTCCAAATAAATCAAATAAAAATTAATATGCTCCCTTTTTATTTCCTTACAGAGACCGCACCCCCTTTGTCCTTACCTCGGACATGGCCTATGTCATAAATAACGGTGATAAACCCTCAACAGATTTCCATTATTTTGTGGATCTCTGCTGTCGTGCCTTCAATATTATACGCAAACATGGTGATCTTTTATTGCATATGCTGGCCCTAATGGCCACAGCCGGTATTCCGGGTGTAACGGCCGATGCCGTAACATATGTACGCCGAGCTCTATTACCCTCCCAGTCGAACCCCGAGGCGGCTGCCTCATTTGCCAAAATGATACAGTTCTCCCTGAAGAGTTGGTTCACCCAATTCAATTTCTTTTTGCACAATTTAGCACAAATGCGTTTCTCCAACGATGAGGGTAATGGCGAGCTGTTGTCTTTTGTTCCTAGGAAATATACGTAAGTGCAGGATTAAAATTATTCCTCTATAGAATAACAATAACATGTTTTTATATTTTATTTTCCAGAATGCAGCAGGATGGCCGCTTAAAAAGTGTCATGGTTGTCCGCTGTCAAAAACATTACGATATGGAAAAGTATTATACATATATTCTACAAGTAACCCGCCATGGTCAAAAGGATCCTACTCATCTGTTTCGTTCATACAAAGAATTTACGGAATTCCATCAGAAATTGTGTCTACATTTCCCTCTGGCCAAACTGCATAGGTAAGTGGGAGATTTGGAATCGAAGCGACTAAGAAGTATGTGTCGGTAGATAGATGGGACCTGTAGAGGGTCTCTAAAAGACATTTTACATATTGAGGACCTGTGACAGGTCTTCTATCTCTGGAGGGCCTGTAAAAGTTTTTTTTTTTATACCTGGAAGGCATGTAAATTATTGTGGTATATTGCAAATCTGGTCTTCTATGGAGAAGACCAGCTTCTATGGACCACCGCCTTGTCTCCTATGAGTGCAGACCATAGTCTGGTCTTCTGTTAGTAAAAATCATCGTCTGGTCTTCTATGGGGAAGACCGTCGACTGGCCTTCTATGGAGAAGACCATCGACTGGTCTTCTATGGAGAAGACCATCGCCTGGTCTTCTATGGAGAAGACCATCGCCTGGTCTTCTATGGAGAAGACCATCGCCTGGTCTTCTATGGAGAAGACCATCGCCTGGTCTTCTATGGAGAAGACCATCGCCTGGTCTTCTATGGAGAAGACCATCGCCTGGTCTTCTATGGAGAAGACCATCGCCTGGTCTTCTATGGAGAAGACCATCGCCTGGTCTTCTATGGAGAAGACCATCGCCTGGTCTTCTATGGAGAAGACCATCGCCTGGTCTTCTATGGAGAAGACCATCGCCTGGTCTTCTATGGAGAAGACCATCGCCTGGTCTTCTATGGAGAAGACCATCGCCTGGTCTTCTATGGAGAAGACCATCGCCTGGTCTTCTATGGAGAAGACCATCGCCTGGTCTTCTATGGAGAAGACCATCGCCTGGTCTTCTATGGAGAAGACCATCGCCTGGTCTTCTATGGAGAAGACCATCGCCTGGTCTTCTATGGAGAAGACCATCGCCTGGTCTTCTATGGAGAAGACCATCGCCTGGTCTTCTATGGAGAAGACCATCGCCTGGTCTTCTATGGAGAAGACCATCGCCTGGTCTTCTATGGAGAAGACCATCGCCTGGTCTTCTATGGAGAAGACCATCGCCTGGTCTTCTATGGAGAAGACCATCGCCTGGTCTTCTATGGAGAAGACCATCGCCTGGTCTTCTATGGAGAAGACCATCGCCTGGTCTTCTATGGAGAAGACCATCGCCTGGTCTTCTATGGAGAAGACCATCGCCTGGTCTTCTATGGAGAAGACCATCGCCTGGTCTTCTATGGAGAAGACCATCGCCTGGTCTTCTATGGAGAAGACCATCGCCTGGTCTTCTATGGAGAAGACCATCGCCTGGTCTTCTATGGAGAAGACCATCGCCTGGTCTTCTATGGAGAAGACCATCGCCTGGTCTTCTATGGAGAAGACCATCGCCTGGTCTTCTATGGAGAAGACCATCGCCTGGTCTTCTATGGAGAAGACCATCGCCTGGTCTTCTATGGAGAAGACCATCGCCTGGTCTTCTATGGAGAAGACCATCGACTGGTCCTCTATGGAGGGGACCATCGACTGGTTCTCTATGGAGAAGACCAATCTCTGGTTATCTATGAAGAAGACCATTCTCTGGCTATCTATGAAGAAGACCAGCTTCTAGTCCTCTATGGAGAAGACCGTTTTCTGGTATTCCTTGGAGAATACCATTTTCTGGCCTTCTATGAAGAAGACCATCTTCTGGCCTTCTATGGAGAAGAACATTTTCTGGCCTTCTATGGAGAAGAACATCTGGCTTTCTATGGAGAATACCATCTTCTGGCCTTTTGTGGAGAAGACCATCCTCTGGCCTTTTATGGAGAACACCAGCTTCTAGTCTTCTATGGAGAAGACCATATTCTGTCCTTCTATGGAGAAGACCATCTTCTGGTTATATATGAAGAAGACCAGCTTCTAGTCTTCTATGGAGAAAACCATCGACTGGTCTTTTATGTAGAAGACCATCTTCTGGTCTCCCTTGGAGAAGACTATATTCTGGCCTTTTATGTAGAAGACCATCGAATGGTCTTCTATGGAGAAGACCATCGCCTGGTCTTCTATGGAGAAGATCATCGACTGGTCTTCTATGGAGAAGACCATCAACTGGTCTTCTATGGAGAAGACCATCGACTGGTCTTCTATGGAGAAGACCATCGACTGGTCTTCTATGGAGAAGACCATCGCCTGGTCTTCTATGGAGAATACCATTGACTAGTCTTCTATGGAGAATACCATTGACTAGTCTTCTTTGGAGAACACCATTTTCTAGTTATCTATGAAGAAGACCATCTTCTGACCTTCTATGGAGAAGACCATCTTTTGATCTTCTATGCAGAAGTCCTTCTTTTGGCCTTCTATGGAGAATACCATCTTCTGGTCTTCTACATAGAAGGACAGCTTCTAGTCTTCCATGGAGAAGAGCATCTACGGGGCTTCTATGGACAAGACCATCTTCTGGCCTTCTATGGAGAATACCGTCTTTTGACCTTCTATGGAGAAAACCATCTTCTTATCTTCCTTGGAGAAGACCATCTTCTGGCCTTCTATGGAGAAGACTATCTTTTGGCCTTGTATGGAGAACATCTTTTGGACTTCTATGGAGAAGACCACCTTCTGGTCTTCCTTGGAGAAGACCATCTTGTGGCCTTCTATGGAGAAGACCATCTTCTGGCCTTTTAAGGACTATCTTCATGCCTTCTATAGAAAAAAACCATGACGTAAAAGCCGTTCCTGGTCTACATTGGAACTTCTTTGGGCATTGCAGCTCTTCTTTAGGAGATTTTAGTCTTTTATAAGAAGAACATTTAGTTTTATCTATGATCTACAAGAAAACCTTCTGGGGTTCTATAGCTTTATTTCAGGATCTTCTGTGAATTCCTAGCCCCTCTATAAAAAAAACTTTTGGTCTTCCGTAGGAAAACTCATTGGCTTTAAAACAAATATCATTGCCGCGGTTACCATTCTTTTTTAATTTTAAGGAGAACCATTACTTGAAGATTTGAGGGTGTCCACCAGAAAAATCCGTAAAGCCTCTGTCACTTCTAGAAGGTCCTGAGAAAGGTCTTCTATCTCTGGAGGGTGTGTAAAAGGTTGTCTATGCCTAGAAGGCATGTAAATGGTCTTCAGAAAAATCTGTGAAGGCTCTGTCATCTCTAGAAGGTCTGCTATCTGTAGAAGACCTCTAGGGAGTCTAAAATCTTTCGAAGACCTCTTAAGGATCCTCTATAAATTTCCAAAATATTTTTTTAAATTAATTTAATTTTATTTTTCATTTATTTATAATTTTTGTTTAACAAATAATTTTTCGCTCGTCTTTTAAACTAATAACCTATCCTCCTAAGCTTCGGTGTCATCAAAACGATCGCTTAAATTGACAAATTCCTGGCTAGTTCTCTTTTTTTGGGCATCCTTTATGGAGCGTCCCTTGAATTCGCCCAAATCATTGCGGGCCTCCTTGGCCCGTTGGGCGGCCAACAAGGCCATGGGATTGCGATAGGCTGGTTTTGGTGTTTCTATTACTTCATCGTCGCTGTCGCTTTCGTCCTCATCATCTTCCTCCCGGGGCAAGGGTGGTGGTGGATATGATGGTGGCGGTGGTGAAGAGTTACTATCCAAAGATAACATTTGAAATTGTTCCGTCATGTGACGATGTTTCCTTATGGCGGACCAACTATCTTCCATTTGATCGTTGTTTGAGATGGAGCCAAACAGAGGAATGGGGTCAGCGGAATTCTCTTGGCCATAATTTAAACGAGTTTGATATCTCTGTGAGGGAATGGGTGGGGAGGAGTAGTTCTCATCATCATCATCGTCATCGCTATCATCTTCATCGGATACAGATTTGCGGGCTGGTATATAACGTTCCTCGGTCTTGGAATCAAAGGTAACCTTGCTTTTACGGGGCTTTGCTGTGGGTGGACCATCATTTTTGGTTTCTTTGAGTATTGAAACGGTTGTTGGCGGTGTCGGCATCGCCGTCGATGATGCATTACCATTTCTTTGCTGTTTCTCGTCATAGGCAACCTGTATGCCCTCAGGGTGGGCACTAAGCTTTTCAAAATTCTCCCAATCCTCCTCAATGGATTTACCAAATCCATTTCCAATTTGTGTATCTCGAAAGGTGTTGACAAATAACGTGGGCTCCTCGGCAATGGGGGAGTTGAGTAGCTGTAGATCATCTTTTAGTTCCAGAAAATCAGCCTCATTCAACTCCAATGACTGGCGTATCCGGGCGAATTCTTCTTCGATATTTTGGGCAAAATCTTTTTCAATATCCTTTTCCAATTCCTGCCAAATGATGTCCGGCCGTGACTCTTGATATTTCAGAGAAGAGGAAAATGTTGAGCTTTCGAAGCTGTAATCATCCTCTTGCGCCATAAAACTGGTTACCTGCTCCTCCACCTCCGTTGCAGCCTCAATTCCTTGGATTTGATTATTGAATTTGGTGGGTCTTCTTTGATTAAGGGTGAACTTATCTGTAGTGGTTTCGGAATCTTGAAAACGTACATGGTTCTGGTAGGCCTCACTGGGAAAGGCAGTGGGTCTTCTTTGATTCAGGGTAAATTTGTCTTCTTCGTCTTCTTCTTCGCCCTCAAAAGGGGAGCCAAATCTAACCTGCCTTGGGTGTTGATTTTCATTACCGGGATGGGCTTCATCATTGCTGTTGGGGTTTGGGGAATCTCCAAATCTAATTTTCGTTGTAGGTCCTTGGGTGGTTTCTTCCACGCTCTCTCTGACATAGGCCGTGGGTCTTCTTTGATTCAGGGTAAATTTATTTTCCATTTCCTCTTCATCTTCGAAGTTGGAAAATTTCACCATTTTCTCCGAGGAGAGAACATATGCCGTGGGTCTCCTTTGATTTAAAGTAAACTTCTCTTCATCGTCCTCGTCCGAGAGAGTGCCGTTGTCATTAGCGAATCTCACTCTCTCCATTGGCTCTCTGACAAATGCTGTTGGCCTGCGTTGATTTAATGTGAATTTTTCCTCCTCATTTTCAGAAGCAAACTCCGTTCCGAAATGGACCCTGGTTGGTGAGGGTGGTGGTGAGTTCTGGCTCTGTCGCACAAATGCCGTTGGCCTGCGTTGATTTAA